CCACTACTCATTCTTTGCCCACGGAACGTCTTTCCAGCCGCCGACCGCGGCATCTCACCTTCTCCGTATCACCCGTCCGTCCGTCCTTCGCGCGTTCCGTCCTCGTCGCGTCGCGTATCCTCGGTGGTGGACGACGACGTCCTCGGCGGCGCTCCGACACCGACGGTCGGGCCGGAAACGGTCGAGCGGAGGAGAGACTCGGACCGAACGTAATACCGCGTATCGTTTATTTATTGCCTCCGCGCAGCCGAGTGTTTACCGGCGCGCCCGTATCGGCGAGTCTTGATCTCGCGCTGGCGCCTCCGGAGACGACCGGCGGCCGTTCCCATGGTCCGCCGCCGGCCGATTGTTCGCAGACGTCGTGCGCCCCGGCGGAAACCTTGGCCGTACCGTAAACCCGGTCGTCGTGAAACCCGTGCAACGCAGTATTGCATCGGAATTGTGCGCGTCGTCGTCCGGTGCCTCGGCACCCAGGGGTAACGAAGGGCCCCACCGCAGATGTCGTCGAAAACGGATCGCGATAACGCGGTAATTGCACTCGTGTGCACCGCGCACGCGGACCGTGTTTCCCGTTACCGTGAACCAAGGGCGGCTCCGGGACCGCGAACGGGGCGAAGGACGAACGTGGGTCCCGAGGGCTTCGAACCCGAACCTTAAACGAGTTAATCGATTCGATAACACTGCTCCGTTTGCCCGATAACTCTTACCTAGCCTCGTTATTCGGTTCCGTGCACGTACGCGAACCCGAGTACCGTACGGTTTTGTCCTCCCCCATCCCTCAGAATACCCCAGGTCGACGAATGTCGTGGTAAAAATATTGTTCGTTGAACGGTAGAACCGATAGGTCGAGAAACGTAACTTCAGAATGTGTAAACGGATCGCCGCTGAAAATGTCGGCGGCGTTCAGTTGATCGAGTCCGTCGTTTTCTTACGCGTTAAATGTTCGGAACGGGCGGCAGAGGAAACGATTCGTTTGTCGAGTTGGAAAAATAATGTTTTTTCGTTCCTTCTCCGTCTCATCTCGCACATCGTGATACCGGTGGTATAACATAACGGTGGTAGACCCACGCCCGCGCAACGCGATACAGTGAAACAACCGAAATAGACAATAGGGCGCTAACGTATCGAATCGGTCCGAGCGTCGTGGTGGTGCAGTAACTTGTTATTGCTCTGTCCCTTCGCGCCGGCCAGTGTTTCGCATTATCTGATCTCGACGCGGTCCGTCGTTTCATTGTTTCGTTTACGTCCGTACATAAAAACACGAACGGTCCGCGGCAAACCGTTCGGAGGCCACTGCAATACGGCGTATGCGTGCGTGCGGATAGATACGATATGTTGCGGAGGGCGATCGAAACATCCGATACGGGGTCATCGAAGATTTAATACGGCGATGCGCTGGTTCCGCTCGTCTAGAAGTGCCGAGACGCTATTCGCCCGGCAACTAAAACAATCCAGATATCCGGAAACGGATGACTTTTGTCGCGGTCGTAATAAGTAAAATTAAATTTGTAAAATGTGCATTTGTACGGGAGGACGAAGGGACCGAAACAACGTTGTTCCTGCCGCCAAAAAAATGTTCTCGGCAAACGAGTTCCGTAGAATTTCCGAAAACGACCGTGCAAACTTATACTAATCACGACAAAAATCATATATTTCTGGATGGAAGGGGCAGGGTTACAAAACTTTACGCAAACGTCGTGCACTGCCGTGTGTTGTAGTGTTGAACCGACGCGAACGATGAGACACGCGTTTGAAAAAAAAAGGTAAAACGTTGTGCCGGTATTGAAGGAAGAATCGCAATCGTAACAGCTCGGTGTCGATGCGAACGTAACCGGAAGTGTTCGAAGAACGTACTATCGGAAACTTCCACTCCGAGCGAAGGATCTCCGACGAGAGAATGGATAATAATGAACTTTTCACGTGACTTCTACGCGCGCTCGTCTTCGCATCGTACAATTAGTGTGTATTGTATTTGCGATGCGTGTGTACGTGCACGAGCTGCCGCTTACTATTACGAGAACGCGCCCACCACACTGTCCTTATTTTGACGTGCACGACCGTCACTCGGTCAACGATAATACGATCTGAGGATATTTTTTTATAGTAATTTTATCTCGTTCAACGGACGAAACTTCGTGCGAACGACGCACTCGGCTGATAGTATCATTAAGTGATGAAATATAATATTTAAAAGTAATAAAAATATTTCAATGACGTCTTGTCATTATGTGTTCACTATCAACGCAGTACATATGCCCGCAATTGTAATTCATACTTATTTTCTGTATTCTTATGTTATGCTTCTATTTCTTCACTTTTTGTTATTACACTTATTACTGTATCTATTGTTTTCCATTTGCCGATCGCTATTAACGTTTTTTTTTTTTTTTTATCATTTGTCAGAAGGCTCGCTGGTCATTGAATAATATTATAAAAATAAATGAATATTTATTATTTTCGAACAGGTCGACTGCCATCACGTGGGATCCATCGATTCTACTGCGTTTGCTTTAGCGGGAGAACCCCGGTAATTTTCTCACTAGCTATTGCGATTGGTTTTCGTTTTAGCAATTCTACTGTTTTCGGCCTGTCAATGAACCTTTATACGTACGCATATTAACGCACCACGCACGGGAAGCGTTATATTTTATTAGTCCCGAATATCCTTTTGTTTCTCTGCTGTTGGTCTTGCGGACAGTACCGACGCACAGTGGTCCGAAAATGAAAATAGTTGACCAAAAATGATTTATTTGAATTTCATAATGTATTTATATTCATGGAAAAATAAAACATTTAAAATAGATAAATGTATTGTTTTAACAAATACTGCGATTTTTGGTTCGAAATAATTTCTGAATTAAATTGTCCCCACCAAATAAAATAAAAGTCTACTGATATGTTTTGGTGTGATATATACAATACGAGTATATGAACTACTGATATTATTAAATGACCCAATTATCATATAACGGTTATTATCGACCCGAAATAGTAGTGGAAATGTATACATTTCTAAATATTACAAAGATAAATTCATACGTTTTTAAAGTCTATAAAATTAATAATATTTTTTACCGAGCTTCACAGATATATTGGTATCATCTAATTAAGTATTATCTATTGAACAAAAATGTGCAATATTTAGCTGCGTATTTTTGCGCAACTCGTTGTAGTAAACAGTTCAATTTTGGTGAATCAATCATTTTATTGTGAACGAATTTTATTTATAAAATAAAAAAAATTAAAAATATGGCTTTAATTCCTAAAATTACAAGAATGATAGTAGTGATGAATATTCTGAATAATATAACTTACATAAATTAACAATTTTTAATATATTGTAATAACAAATATTTAAAAAGAAATAATATTATGTTATTTTATAATTATCATTAAAAAAATTTTAGTCCCCATAAAACAGAATTATATTGTATACTTTTTTATTGCCACATAACTAAAAAAAGTCAATTAAAAATGAAAATATTGTTTAATTAATTTAAAGTATATTATTTTTAACTAGTTATGAAAAAATTAGATTTTTGGCCAACTATTTTCATTTTTGGACCACTGTGCGACGTGCTGTTGACAGAATGACGAAAATAATAGTTTGACCGCAAAAAAATTAAATTTCCCAAAACATTGATCGTTATCGATAACGTAGAACTGGCGAAATAATTAAGGTTATTGCTGGCTGTAACACGATTTCGCTCTAATTGTAATACAATTGCGTCTGTTTAACTATTCAACCGGAATACAACGTAATGCAACCACATTTCGTGAAACATAGGTGTTGTCATTTTAAAAATTTACTAATAAAGTATTTGAAATTATTAACACGTTGCACAATAAACATTTTCAATAAACGCATCTTTCCAATATGCACGAAATACAGGCATAAAGTTTTTAAGACCGATATCCTATACACTGCATCGTAATAACCGGGTATTTGATATAATTCAAGTACACACACACACACACACACACACTGGAGTGATCGAGATTATACTTCATCGTGTAAAAGCATATAGACCAACCTCAAGAAAAAAAAAAAAAGTAAAGAAAAACAAGAAAACAATCGTTTAAAACGTATTACGTCCGACTTGGACTAAATTAGAACAAAACGAAATATCTGTACGAAAATGTTTGAAATTTAACGGGACCGCGGTTTCTTGCCACAGATTTCGTCATTATCACGTGTATCCAACACAAATATCGCTGCAATATTATTATTATTGTTACTTCGGTCGCGCGAATGTAGTGCACAGGCACCTATACTTTGTCAGCAAAGCGGTCGAGTGCACGCACCGGGCGAGAGAATTATATTTCTCGTTCGAAATTGCCGCGCGCGCGTACGTACGATACCATTATGTCGCAACGAAACGGACAACCTTCGACATCGCAAACGACAAAATTATACGTATTTCGCGCACGCGATGTTACGCAGTATGCCCCGAACGAAGAGGACACCGTGAACAATAATATTAGCAATAAAACCCAACGATAATTCAACATAATAGATAGATACATAATACACGTATATTCGTAAACATAATCGTTCACTTCATATTTCAATATATTATATACCAGGCTTTATTTTATAGTGCAGTAAGAATTAGTCCTATAGTTGATAGTATAGTTAGCTAATACGTGTACTTGAGAAATACAACAAAAATTACTTTGCCAATATTGTTTAAACAATGCGTGTATTATTTTACTACGTGAAATCATTCAACACCGAAATCAAATGACAACTGCGCACTCGCCATCGGAGTTGAACGTGTTTTTAACATATTTTTAATATATATTGACAGCGGTTTTGAATATTTTCGTTTACCATTTATATTATGATTTTATATTTAGAAAGTATTGTTCACGCCGAAATCGCGGTGGTTGCGTAATAGGCCACTAGCCATCGCTATTTCATAATCTCCAATTAAGGCACACAAACACCACGCGTAATCTTAAGCTAATAGTTGTTTATGAACTATTATCGTGAGTTATGTAGCGACAAGGCCGATATTCACTTGAGTGTCTTGTGTCAACAACCGTCCGAAATACGTTGAGTAAATTACATTTTTTTTTTTTTTTGTGCGTAAATCTTCGTAGTGTTCGTAGTGTGTAGAACAACATCCGCAAACATATTACTGTTATTGTACACGTGCGCCGTTGTTCATTATAATATTATTAAAATTGTTATACGCACGAATCGCATCAATTATTATTATTGTGGGCGCTAATCACCACTAATTTTAATTATTATTATTGTGAGTGTGTTAAATTATTATAGTTTTAGGTATAGATGTGCAGCTGCCCGGTCTGCGCTCTACCAATTCTGTGAGTTTTATATATTTTTTTAATTCAATATATATTATTGAGCCGAAAGGCCATGTATTCATACTTTTACCGAGTATTTGTTGTTGGGGCCAGAAGGGCCGATAGTTATATTTATACCATTTATTTTTATTTTGTTATTTATTTGTTGGGCCAAAGGGGTCACATATTTATTTATATTATTATTATTTATACGCACTAACGTGTTGCTGTGAGTTATTTATATTTATTTTTTTTTATTTTATTATACAGCAACTCTGGTTACCGTCCTTAAATTTATTTTATTTTAGTAACCATTTTTTCCCCATAGTTTAAAGCACGCACAATACGCAACACATCTATACAATACACATAACACACAATACCACAACATAGCTTACTAGCAGGGGCGCCATTTGGGGGGGGCAGACTATGTCAAATGCTCTACTCTAAGAAATTTTAAAAAGTTGGCAATTCTTTGTCCGATGATAAAATGCTAAAGTCAGTAAATAGTAAATTCTTATTTACTATTTTGTACTCAGAAATTAGGTAATATTCTCTTTTAAATACACGTTCACGGTTTATTAAAAGTTGGGAAACACTGGCTCCTCCCCGGGTTATGACAATCGTTATTGCACGAACCTTATTAACTTTATTTTTGGTATATTATACATTTCTATATATGTGATCTTTATAAAACAGTTTTCGTGATATCGATACCATAAAAATTGAGCTCATAATCTATAAAAAACCGTTAAAATCGTTTCTATTCACCCCAAAATACTGTACATTATATTTGAGATACAATTTTTTGTTTTTATAAATAAGTTGTGTAAAGTAATAAATATACAAATAATAAAATTATAAGTATTTATTTAATTAGATTTATATTATTATTCCATTAAACCTATTGATAGGTAACTTCTAGCATATAGGATAAGTAAATAAATTAATATTTTACTATCTTTAATATTATTATTTGATTGGGTTAATTGTAAAGTTTCATGTTCTTTGTTTATTATCATTATATATGGCATCATTATTCATTACTAATCCTTACATATTTTGTTCCGAAAAAATGTCTTATTAATAGCCTATGGTCCATAAATATTTAAATATATAGGTAACCATAATTTTTTAAATATTATGAAGTCGGCAAATTTAATCAGTTGACCCACCCTTTTAAAAGTTAAAATGACGTCCCTGCTCACTAGTATTTGCGAGGAGAACCCAAACACTACTAGTTGAGCTATCACACACCACTACAACCCAAAACAATTGACTGGTCGGTGTGTGCGAATCGGTTCTCATGCCATCGTCTTTCTATCTGCGATAACTCAATTGAGCAGTTATTTATCCGAATTAGCGATAAATGTTCCTCTTTGGTTATTGGTGCTGTTTATATTCCGTCTGCTTTTGATATTAATGTTTATGATATACACTTTAATACTGTCGATGTTTTGTTAAATACAAATTGTAGTTCAACATTTTTAATTTTTGGTGATTATAATCTACCAAATATTAATTGGAAATCTATTTATGATTCAATTGTCCCTATGGGTGCTCGTGCTGATTCTATTGAATCTAATGTATTAGCTCATTTGTCTTATTTAAATTTAATGCAGTTTAATTTAATATATAATCCCTCTGGGTCATTGCTTGATCTTGTTCTTTCTAACGTGTTTAATATTAACGTAGTTAATGAAGATCACACGTTACTACCATTAGATTCGATTTACCACCCAGCCCTTACAATTGAATTACCTATTTTATCATTTAAGTACTTAAACTATAATGAACAAATATATGATTTTGTCAACTGTAATTATAATTGTATTAGGTCTAATCTTGCTTCGCTTGACTGGAATGGCATATTTAATGGATAATATATTAATAATGCTGTAAATGCATTCTAAGAAAACGTTTTTAAGATAATTAATACTTATTGCCCGGCTAAAACTTTATACTTTTCAAAGTACCCTCAATGGTTCAGCCATGCATTAAAAAAATTAATTTTTGATAAAAAAAATAGCTCACAAAGTATACAAACAATCGTCACTTTCGCATAATTATAACACATTTTCTAATTTACGTGCACGCTGTAAAGCTCAAAATAAAATAGATTACAATATTTTTATCCGAAAAACTCAAAATTCTATTACTAGGAATCCTAAACGTTTTTGGCAATATGTTAATAACAAACGTTCTATTCATTCGCTTCCAAACTCTATGTATTACAATAGTAACAATATTTCCGGTGGTACTGATATTACAAATTGTTTTGCTCAATATTTCTCCAGTGTTTTAAATATACCGTCAATCTTGCAAACTATTTCGTATTCCAACAATACAAATTTTCATTCTGTTGATCTTAATTCATACACGCTAACTTTCAGTGATGTTTATAATGCGCTTAATGAAATAACTTATAAAACTTGTCCTGGTCCTGATAATCCTGATAAAATTGCCAATATATTTTTTATACAATGTAAATTTGTTTTGTCATCTCCCTTACTCATACTATTCAATCAATCTCTTTCCATAGGAGTAATTCCAGACAAATGGAAAATATCTTATATCTCCTCTGTTTTTAAAAGCGGAGATATTAACTATGTAATAAATTACCGACCTGTCTCTATAATATCTATAATTCCCAAAATATTCGAAGGTATTATTTATAAGAAAATTAGTCCACTCTTTAAATATTTTATTATTGACGAACAGCATGGTTTTATGTCTGGTAGATCTACTGCATGTAATCTCTTAATTTTGCAAAATTATATTTTAAATGCATTTAAATTAAATTGTCAAGTGGGCATAATATTTACAGATTTCGCCAAAGCCTTTGACATGATTGATCATAGTATACTCGCCAAAAACTTGTTTCAATTTGGAATTTGGTCTCCGTGATCCTTTCTTTTCTTGGCTAATATCCTTTTTGTCTGGTCGAAAGCAGTACGTAAAATTTAAGAATTATAACGCATATATGTATGATATTACTTCCGATGTTCCTCAGGGTTCCCATCTGACCCATCTTCTTTTTAATATTTATATTAATGATATTCATGATATCAATTCCAATATATTGCTTTTTGCTGATGATGTTAAACTATTCGGTATTTTTAAAACTCCACTTGATACTAAATTGCTACAGGATGATCTTGATAACATAAGTAACTGGTGTAATATAAACAAATTATATTTGAACGTTTCTAAATGTAAAGTTATTACTTTCACTAGAAAATGTTTGTTTTTTTTTAAATGGTGTTGAATTAAATCGAGTCAATATTGTGAAAGATTTGGGTGTATACCTGGACTCTTCTTTTTCATTCAATTACCATTATATATATGTTTAAAATAGAGCGTCTTCAATGCTAGGGTTTATAATGCGAAGCTGTAATAATTTTGATAATCCTCTGACCCTTAAATCATTATACTGCGCTTTTGTTAGATCAATTTTAGATTAAAATTTAATAATTTAATTTCCTTATATATCTGGTGCAATTCACTCTCTAGAGGCGATTCAAAATCGTTTTTTGAGACTTATAAGTATTAAATTTAATATTCAACGGTAGCCTCACACTTCATATGAATCATTATTATTATGTTTAAAACTTGATACTCTTTAAGTTACAAGGGTAAAACATGACATTTGTTTTTTATATAAGCTTTTAAATGGTTATATTTACTGTCCAGATCTATTATCAAATTTATCTTTTTTATTTCCTGGTTATACGACTAGACAGCCTGATATTTTTTATGTGCCATTCCAACGTATCGTATATAGTAACAATGCCCCTATAATTAGATTCATGCAACATGTAAATAAATTTAAAATCGATATTTTTATTTGTAATTCAGTTGCTTCTTTTAAATTTTATCTTAATAATTTAGTAATTTAATCATTTAAAATAAATTGTACTTCCACAATAACCATATTTGTATGTTCCAAATTTTCATTGTAATTGGGCTCGTCCGTTTAATAAATTAATAAATAAATAAATAATTATAAACAGTAGGATAAATCTTACACATGAGGAAGAGGTATGTGTGTGTTTGTTTTTTGACTAGAGTAGGAGAGTTGGTGATTTTTATCGATTAACATTTAATTTATATAATTTTTTTGTAGACATTTGCCGCCACTACAGCGTTAGTTGATTCTGAAAGCGAAGTGTATAACACTAATAAAGCGGTGAGATTCTAACTGCGCGGGTATATTTGAGTGTTTGCATCATAAACGTATACTGATGGTCTCTATATTTTAACAGATCGCTCTTTTGAATGAAGTGTCAACTAAAGCGGCTCTCAGCTGGGAACCATCATCATTTGTATCTTATATCGAAAACGAATCGTCTTCGCCTAACGAGTTTGAAGAACTGTTAAAAGTTCAAAAGAACATAAGTATTGAATCGTCAGATTTCATCAGTCAGTTAGCGAATATTCCAACTGCATACAAGCTGCAGACTGCTGTGTTAGTAAACATGAATTGTCCAATGGAAACAATCCCGTCTAAGCCAGTATCACTTGTAAGTATTGTAACTGTTATGTTTTTTTTATTTATCAGTGGTAATTCTATTAATTTTTGTACGATTTTTCACAGAAAAGACATATGCAGAATATTGATTATGATGACGAGTCTGATGACAATTCCCAAGACTCTGTAGACCAAAAAACCAAGTCCAATCAGACGAACAAGCCGCCGTTGGCCAAATATAAATGCAGACCACAATATTTATCTATGCCGGAAATTAGCACTGAATCTTTAATAACTTCCGACCCAGAGACTACGGATATTAGTCCGAATTACGATTACCCGCAGTTAAATTCGGACTGTTCAAGTAGTGACGATGACAACACGGATGACGAAGTTTCGGATATCTTGATACCAGAGTATGAGATTTCGAATTAAGTCATTACAGAACATCTGGGTAGCAAGTACTTGAACATCAACAATAAATCTGATAAATCACAAAATGAGATTGCCCGCGAATTAAAGCTAATTCAAGTTAGAAGTGCGCTCGTTAACACAGGATTTTCTATCCCTGAAAAATTTAAAACAATCGTGAAGGGTGTCATAAAAAATGATGAATCTCTGGTGCTGGTTAATTTTAATCATCTCGTATATTATGAATCGCAGACTTTCAAAAATAACCGAACGAAGTTTTTGAAGGGTCTCCCAGAATTTAAATTTGACAACAATAATACAGAAAAATTTGTATATAAAAATCGCGAGAACAAACCAATTGTATACGGTATTGACGCGTATACCAATTTACCGAATAAGGAGATTAATGGGGTACCAATGTCGTCACTGCACAACGCTCTGGGCCCGTTGAAGAAGCACTTGAACCACAAATTTACATTTGCCAGAAGTTTGTATGGTGACACACTAAAGGCGTATGCCGAACAGCCACTGCTTTCTTCCGACGTTTTATCTAAGGTGAATTAGTATTACGATCTAACACTGTACCCGTTGATTTACGGATATGTGCCGGAGGTGATGCTAATTTCTTTAGAATATTATGTTACATACATGATTCGTGTCTTGCACACGTACAAGCAAGACCGAAAATATGATTTTTTAGAAGCAAAATTGGAAACGCTCATGTTTAAGCTATGGCAGTTGTGCAGTACTGATATGTAAAATATTAACGATACGAAAATACTGGTGAGCGAAAAAAGTCATTTTGTTGAGGCTTTATTCTATACATATTATCAGTTGGGTCTTTCCTATCAAAAGTATAAACGTGAGCTCAAAGAAAACCCCAAGCTGGCGACTATCACGGTAACTGGAATGACGAATGTGAATCCAAAAGTGAATCTTGACTATTGGCTGGTTTTACATCTATAGATGTATGAATATATTGTCTAAAGTGGACAAACCGGAAATTACAATAGAATCGCTATTGTCCTTAAAGGCTCATTTGACATTTCTTGCTCAGCACGTGAACGCTGATTGTTTGAATATGTGGTCAAGTCTCTTCAATCATTTACGTCTGCACAGTGTGGTCAGCACTCGTACTTTGAATTTGATACACTCTAAGAAAATGAAGTTTTTCAAAAAACAAATTATTCATCACGACAATGTTATCTGAGCACACTAAAGTACCGATGCGTAGCTTGTTATACTATGGAAATAATATTGGATGTAATGAATCGTCGCTGTTGGAACATTTTTTCAATAAGGACGATGTGTACAACTTGTTTAACAAATTTTTCCCGGCGCCGCAAACAATTCTCGATGCGCTGTGCGTGCGCATTGACAACTTCTTGATGACTAGCGTTTCTTGGTTTGTTTGTTATCTGTTGGGGATTAATGGCTGGAACAAATCTGTGACTATGAACTCGTGTATATATCTCTACACAAATTACTCATACCAACGGCTGCCGCAATGCCATTCGACAGTTGTACCGTTTTTCTGCAGCCGTGCCGTGTTTACCGGCTTGAGTAACATCATCAAGCTTAGTCTGTGCGCCATAAATAAGCACCATGTGAATTTCAAAATTGAACTAGAGATAATTCGCATGTTGCTCGAAATAACCCATGCTAATGATGTTTGCTTTGAGTCCGTACCTTTTGTCAATTCCCGACTGTTCAACACCATCGATGTTCGCGGCCAAATGTATCGATTTGATGAACCGATACGAAAAGAAGTATATCATAAACAATGATAAGTTGGACATTTCTGACAAGCCGTCATTCCTGGCTAACTACTCTAATGGCAGAAAGATCAAATATAGAAAATAAATATAAAGATAAGATAATATAATTTATAATATAATAATATAAGATAAATAAAATAATATCGTACGATTTCTACCAAATTTTCAAATTTACTTCTTAACAGATGTAAGTTACTGTAAAAAATGTTAAAAAATTCGTAACTTCATTTGCATTGTTAAAAAAAGGGTGGAGAATAATTACCCACTGAGCATTTAGTTTCGTATTTATGTACCGTGGGCAGAAGGAAATAATTTCCCACTTAATACCAATACAACAATTTTATTTTGATTTTAACTATTTTTATGCAAAAAAATGTATATATGATATGCTAAATAGATATTTAATTGAATTTTAAGATTTATGACACCTAAAGATACAAATCTTCTCAACTGATAAAATAAATTCTTATGATATTATAGTAAACCTTATAATTAAATATAATAATTGAACAAACAAAAAATAATTAATAATAAAAACATGAATAAAAACCTTTGTAGAATAATCTTGATTCACATATTTCAGACTAAAATTATAATAAAAAATAAATAAAATCAATTTTTCAAAATAAAATTATATATTTTATTTTTAACACAACAGCAACTAACACCACGCGATAAGCTACCCTTCCAAATCCCACTTCTACACATACCGATCATCTCTATGGAGTATGCACTCTTGGCTATCAGGTCTGTTATGTGTGCATTTAGTGACTGGTGTATCTATTATTTTTGAAAAATGGGTCGTTATGAAATATTATGAAAGAAGAATTAATAAAATTAATTACAATTTCTACTAAAACAACTGGTTGTGATATTATGGATGGAATAGATAGAGTTTATAAATTTAAAAATCAATATTTAAAATATTGTTTCAATAACTACTGATGACGCTCCAAATATGGTTGGTAAACACAATGAATTTATTAAACATTTTTCCAATGAAATTTCGCATCCTATCATCAACTTTCATTGTACCTATTATACACCAAGAAGCGTTGTGTGCAAAAGATATTATGAAATCGTTTCAAAAAGTAATGGAAACCGTTACAAAAATTGTCAATTTCATAAAATCTTGAGCTCTAAACAACCGACAGTTTGCCAAATTATTAGAAGAGGTCGAATCGCAATACTCCGGTCTTCATATGTATAACAGTGTTGAATGGTTGAGTCACGGGCAAGTTCTTCATCGATTTGTAGAATTACTGGAAGAAGTACGTTTATTTTTGTTGGACAAATCTCAAGATTATCCAGAGCTTACTGATTTAAATTGGTTGAGTGATTTTATGTTTTTCACAGATTTTGCTGCAATTTATAATGATTTAAATAAAAAACTCCATGCCGAGGTCAAACAGTTTTAACTATGATTGATAATATTAAATTAAATAATATTTGGAATTATATTTGTCAATTATCAAATTGTCAAAAATCTAACCATTGCACTTGGGTTAAGTTGAAAAATTTAAGAATGAAAAATTGACGAGGAGATGGAAAAAAAAAATCAAATAACATACACGTATATTATCGGATAAGAACAAGATTCAAGATATTCTTGTATTGATCTCCGTGGAGATGCGCGCGTATACAGCCGGATTCGTGTTACGATAATAGTTAGTCATATCGTCCTGTATATATAACATGTGTACATCGTCGGAGTGCGTATCGTGCATTATGCATTACGTACGCATAATAAATAGGTAAAAATGTGTATAATACACTTATGTACTGATTGTGAGAACCCGTTCAGAACACGACGTCGAGAGCCCTAATTAAATTTAAACGGTCATTATAGAGCCGCTCAGCCGCCACGACTAATTTCTTCCTGTGCGAGTAGATAATAATAATAATAATAATAATAATAATAATATTAATGTAGTATCGTAGAGTCGCACACGCATTGGTGTTTTACGACGACATATGACGACCAGGTTGATGGTTTACACGCGTGTACAACATAATGTAGTAAATAATATCGTGTGCGCATCACGTGAAAGGAGACTTTCTCAGGATTGATTCGGTCGCTTAAATATAGACAATATGTGCACACACGATTTCACCAAAAATCATTATATACATATATTTATATCTATATATATCTGTGTTATATGTAAACTTGTATACGCTTCGTGATATTATTATTAAAATTATTATTGTACGGTAAAGAACTCATCTTGGGTTTGTTTGTTTGTTTTTTTAAATTTTGATTGAACCGAAAAATACTTTGGGTTTACCACGATGTGTATGTGTGTTTTTTTTTTTTAAACCGTTTATACGATTTCGACCAGAAAGAATGTTCTGATCATGAACAAATTCAAAGTAAAAGATAGGAAATGTTTTCTAGTTGGTACTTTACAGGAAATCGTTTCACGAATTTTTCCAACAGTTTTTTTTAATAATTACAAAAAACTAACGAAAAGTAATAAAAATATGGCAACATCGTACCGGTTTCGAAAAAACTTTCAATTTCCTCGTAAAATAATCGTAATGATCGTGGAGTTATGAAATTTTCACTGAATGCTTATATTACCGTTTTAATGATATAATAATAAAATTCTATAATTTCAACAGATTTTTTTTTTTGTTTTTTGAGCAATTATAAAAATGTAAAAAATTTATGTTCTCTTAACTTTTTCACAAATTTTGTTGAAATAATTTTGATTTAATAAAAAGTTTTTAAAATGTAATACATATTTATTGTTGATTAAAGAAATAAAATTGAGATTAATATCAAAAAAGACAAAAAATTCGAGCATTTAATGAAAATCCGTTTCTATTCTTTGGTCAGAAATGCATACAATTTTCGATTTTTATACTGTGGGCTTGAAAGTTGAAAACAAAAATTTTCATTTCATTTTCATTGTAGGTAAAAAAAAAAAATCCTTTTGTAAATCACTAGAATGATTTATAAGCGTTAGAAAAAATGAAATTTTCAAGAAATAAAACGAATTCGACAATATTATTTGTTTAGTCAAAGGAATTTCATGGTTTCAAATGTATAACGTTAAACATTTTTGATTTTTCCAAATTTTAGATGCGTTTTTTTTCTTTTTGTTATGAATGTTAGGACATTGAAAATTTTCAGTTTATTAGATCAATAAGCAGTACAATTCTTTTATTACCAGTGCTCGACTTGAGGGGGGGACGCAAGGGGACGGAATACCCCAACTAATTTTCAGAAATTTTAGCGTCCCCCTACTAT